CAGTTTTGTCTAAAGTTATAACCCCATCTTTTTATTTCTCCTCTCTCACAGTAGTTAAGTATTTCTTTGTTAGTGTTGCAGGAGATGAATAGGCAGACATTTTTCAAAACATTCTCAAAAAGCTACGAATGTAATTCTTTATGATTATTTATACCATTTGCTATGAACTTAAATTTAAGAGAATTTTTTATAGAATTTCGGTAACTCATAAATTTACAGGAATTTATTACTCAGTGGGTTGCGAAAGTATTTGATATTTTTGTGAATAGGTTTAAATTTCTTTTGAATGTTTTTTCTGTTTTTTCTGGCAATAAGTTCGTAATTAATCTAGTTATCAAACTCTTTCCTAAGTGTTCTATGTAAAATGCTTTGCAAATAATGCTAAAATTATCGTTAGCTCTATTAATGGTGGGGTTGTAGAGACATTAGGAATTTTTTTGAAAGTAGGAGAGATGAAAAATAAGCAATGCCCTCGCCGGGACTCGAACCACGAACCTCTCGAATACGCGCCGAGTGTGCTGGCTATTACACCACGAAGGCATGCTACGAAGGTGGGAGAAATACCTTATAGGGTGAATGAATTTTTATTTCAGAGTATTGTTAATTTGCTGATTTTTTTCAGTTTTGAGCTTTAAGCTTTGTATTGTGTTTCTAATAAGTTTCAATAGTTTTTAGTTCCATTTCATAAATGCACTGATGCGTTAGCTCTTAAATTTGTGGCTAGATTTTTAAAAGATATTGATTAATATTAGTTTTAATATTATAGACCCAGGAGCTGTGGCTGAAATTAGTGACTAGTTTGCATTTTGAGCCAAGTTTCATTAATTCTTGTAATTATATATTACTTGCCGTTAATGATATGTCTATAATATGGAACTGCATATTCTTTATAAAAATTCATTACAAAATATTTGGGAAATTATTGAAAGGAATGCGATTGCGATTGATTAATATAGAGCCTACTACGGGGTATATTTGAAGTAAATTTTAGTTCTTGATAATTTAGTTGGAAAATATGACACTCACTGTTGCAGGAAGTTATTAAATTTTATTTGGTTTTAAGATGAGTATAAAACATCTATAGGTATAGTAAGATAAAAGAGTATGGAATTTAGGTGCAATTAGCTTTTGAGCAAACAGATCAAGAATGGCTTTAATAAAGCTGTTGGTTGGTTGTATTTAACCTAATCATTAATGCTTTTAGAGGTTTATCCTTAATAAAAAAGCGAGTTTTTAATACTGCTAACAAACTTAAAATCATTGAAATAGTTTTGTATTTAAATTAATAGAGTAAGTAGTTGTTTGCTCTGCTAAAGTTTGATTTTTAGTACCATATTTTCGCGCTTTCTTTATTAGTTACATAGACTCTAAAATAAATGTAGTAAAAAAACGTAGTTTTTATGAGACATTTATAAGCAATAAAGTGATGAACTTAAAAGAAGTGTAACAAATAATAACATTCATATAGAATAAAATAAATTACTCGGAATAACAAAAGCTGATTACATGTAATGTAATATAATATCAAAACATATAGCTGAAAGAAATGTCAAATATTCATGGAAACTGTTACCCTTGTTACTATAAACGTTTAAAATATGTGTAAGGTACATGCAGCCAAGTACCTTATGCATATTTGATTAATGCTAAATCTTTTAGAAGAATGAAAATGTGAATTTAAGATAAACTAAAATGTTAATAACTACATATTTAAAGTAATGTGAAGCAATTTTAATATATTCTTATTCCAGATATTTCAAGTAGGCAGTACTTACACGAATGAATATTCCAACATCAGTGTCTGCACGCAACATTAATTTCTGCCTTTGTCTTGCACTGAATAAAATATCAAAGCAAATTAATATGTATATAACATCCTTGAGCAAAATTTTAGATTTAGTTTCCAATTGTCACGCCATCTGTTGCAAAAATGTAAATTAAAGTATAAATTTGTTTAAGATGTTGATAAAAAAGGTTTATTATATTCAATTGTAAAAAGTTTATTCTTCAGTACCCTTTTTAAATCTGTAGGGGGTAAAAATGAGTTTGTTAAGAAAGGGAACCCCATCGACAGTACCCTTTTTAAATCTGTAAAGTGGATTCCTTAGACATTTAAAGCATAGTTTAACTTTATTGAACAAGCTTAATAAAAAAATTATCACTTTTCTCAGTGCAGATATTTTTGATTTTTATTTAATTTTCTTAAAGAAAACGCATACACACATAAACATGAATTTCAAGCCTCATATTTACTGATTAGAAAATTATAATCCAAGAATTATCGTGTATAAAAATATATAAAGTGTTACTTTTTACCCAAGAATTTTACCTCTGTTTGATAGACAAAATACAATAAAATCACCTACCTACCTTCTCAAAATGTTTCTTTTTCATTTGTAGTAAAGAAGCATAAATTTGTCATCGCCGAAGAGGCTGTCCTACTCCTTGCTGTATCACAGATTTCTTTATTGTAATATCACAACATAATATAATTTCCAAATCCATTATTTTAATAAGTCAGAATTGATACCTCGTATAATCAATAAATGTAAAACATTTTCCTCATTATGTATATATATAAATAAGTGTAGGCACATATGCACACTTGAGTATATATTTGACTTCTTTTGAACGAATTTCGCACTAATTTTTCGAACGAATAGATATGAAGAAAGATAACGTTCTGTATCTGAACGTTTGACAAACTAAAACTAACATTTTGCAGTGTATCGTATGCTCATTTTTATTTTTGATTTAATTTCTTCCTTTTCCTGAATGTTTTTGATTTATCTATTCCTCATAAATTAAGATATGTGCCTACCCTAAATTCGTCGTTTCCAATACATTTAGGTTTCATACATTTAGGTTTCCAAAAATGCTTTATTTTTGTTTTTACGATAACTAGAAGCAAAGTTATAGTATAAAAAATAAACCGGATGTGAATTTTTGGATGCCGGAAGTTGGCATTTGAATGGTCGTAAAAATGTAAACAATAAGTTTAAACAACTATTTTCTAATTATTAAACAATATATGTTGCATCAGGTTCTTCTATTTACAATAAAATTAATGTAAAATTCCTTACCTGCTGCATCTTCAGTGTTCACGACGCCAGGCTTCTAATAATCACGTTTTCAGTAAGAGTTTCTATTACTGCTAACAAGCCATCTTGTCTTTTAATTATTTATTGAAATAAAAAGCTAATATACACTATTTACAAGATAGGTGATAATTATTTTAAGACAGTACATTTTAATTCTGAGTCTTTACGCTCCTCAGAGCGGTTCCAATCTCCACTGGTTCTCGGAACTTAATTACAGCAAAAGTAAAAGGAAGAGATGCCCGCCACCTAGTGGCAAGAATGTGACAATATAAAAGCTGTAAAAGCAATGTGACACTTTGCTGATAAAATGCCTACATGGGAAGACTCAAAACAATAATGAGTGTTTTAATAACCTTTGGAGGACTATTTTACCTAAAGAAACTTTTGTCCAACTGAAAACATTGCTTTTAGGTGCACATATTGCTGTATTATTATTTAATATAAGATATTTAGGACTTTTACCTATTTTCAGGTATATAGAAATAGAAAATAATCCCATTATGCTTGAAAGCTACATGGAAATAGACAAACAGCGAATTCAGAAATCGAAACGCCAATCTCTACAAGCAACAAAGTTATCCAGTAAAATGCTAAAAGAAAGTCAAAATTAGTTAAGAATGAAGTAAAAGAGGGCCTAACACACAAACACGGCGAGATTTAAAGGTCTAAAGTGGCTAAAAAATGTTTTGTGCTGTATTAAAATCTTTAAATGCAGTTTCTGAGAAATTGTGTTTTTCGTTACTTTTGATTGCGATTACGTTAATTTCTCAAAATGTATTTAGAATATAGAAATGAGATTTTGCCAAAATGTTTCATTCATCTTTAGCTGTATTCTGTAGCAAAATATGACCTCTTTGTATTTATTTATTGATTTTATTGACAGTATTTTGAAGAAAAGAGAATTTTTTTGTTTTAATTTTTTGTACCAAGTTTTGAATATTTCAAACAATTTTATAAATACAGCAAATCTTTTGCTACAGAACACAGGTAAGTATGTTATTTATATACTGTGTAAAGATTATTGAAATATATTCATTAGAATCTATTATAAGTGATCTGGCGTAAATGAAAATTTTCGCTAAAATTTTACTAAATATTGCCTATATTTAAAAACTTAATGAAACGTTCTATAAAATACCATTTAAATTCATAGTTTTATATCCCATCTTACTCAAAAAACATGCGTGTTTAATTAAAATTTTATGTATTTAAAAAATAGTGCTTCGTATGTAGGCACATACCTTAAGTAATATGCTTTTTAGATAGTTATGTTATATTAATATCACATAATATTCAGCTTGGAATTGCCGCCAGAGCGGACAACACACAACGGCCTATGAGGAACATTACTGACCAGCCAGTCAGAAAATAGGAATTCGATTAACTTTAATAGAAAGAGGGATAAAAATTAAGTTACCTTAAGTTAAGAAAAATTTAACACACCAATAGTGCAGCAACAAGGCTTTAAAATAATTATAAAGTTAAAAGTTAAACAACCTTAAGGGTCAAAACAACAAGATACGAATACCAAAAATCTTAAATCCCTAAACTCAAATTAAAATTAACCATCTTCAACTCAAGAAAACTTTTAAAGCAACCAAACCTAAATTAAAAGTTTACAAAAAGTTACAGTTTAAACTTACAACCAACTTTAAACAACTAAAGCAAAAAAAATTTAGAACTTTAATTACAGATCAAAACCGAAAAAGCAAGCAAAACTTAAGCTTGAAAATAATAGCGATTAATACATAACAGTTAAATAAGTTACTTAGAGATTTAATTAAGTGTTAATTAAGTATAGTTTATGGATTAAAACGTTTCTTTCATTCGTATAATTCTGAATCATATGTTGTCTCCGGACATTTATTTGAGTTCTAATTTCTCATAATTCTTCTTCAGATGTGCGACTTGGCGGTAATTGTATTAACTCCGAGCAGTGCCAAAAGGCTACGCCTAACAGTACATGCTCAGATGGACTCTGTACTTGCATGGAGGGTTATTTCCCTCTTAAGATCAACACTTCATACTGCGAATCAAGTGAGTATATAATTATTTCATATTTACGTCAAATATTGAAAATTTGGTGAAAGTTACCCTTTTAAGTACATTTTACATTTTTTATTTACTACACAAATATTTCTGTAATTACTGAATTACGCTGCCAATGTATTTTTAGGAACTAATACAGGGTGTCCCAAAAGGTCGTTTGCAAACTTTACGTGCTGGTTTGTCAGAGCATAACGAAACGAGTTTTATGTAGGAAGTTGTGCCCGAAAATCAAACCGTGCGGTGCTACAGCAACGTAATCGAGACGCAAAGAAAGGGAGTCGATAGTGGCTTATTAAAAAAAAAAAAAAAAAACTTAACAATACACATAAAGGAAATAATCATGATCACAGAAAATGTTCGAATTTCTTTCCAACCATCGCAATACATGCTTCACATATTCATGGATACACGGAATCGTTCAATCTGGCAAGGTGAGTCACGGGCAGTGCTACTGCTTCCACAATCCTAGCGACGAGGTAGGTGCCAGATGTTACGGATGTTTCGTATACCAGAGATTACATGTATCCCAACAAGAAGAAAATCTATGGGGATAATGTGAGGGATTGTGACGGCTTCTCAGTTTCCTGCAGCGCAGGTGCACGTGGTGGTGTATGTGCAGTACATTGCCGATCGATGTAGCTGCTTAATCGAAAACCTTAGCTTCACTTAATCTTCGGTGAAATTGTCAAAACAAAGGATAACTCGGCAGATATCTGGAAAGTGCTCTCAGTACATGCGTTTCGCGTCCCGTCCATTTCTATCCACGACCCCTTAAGGGCCATTCCCAATGAGGTTTATTTTAGCTAACTGAGTCAGTTCCATGTGTCGACTAGCTCCGCTATGCCTGCAGTTCAGACTTGTCAAAATGCTGCCTTATGGAAAAAAACTGGTTTTGGAAATGGGTCGGCTACGTCAGTTGTCTCCGTTAGCTCAGATAAACCCCAGTAGGAACAGCCCTTAAAACATAATGCATATAAGCCAATTCCTCGTTACTGAACCGGTGCACCCTTCTCCTGCAACATCATTACCTGAAGCGATCTCTCTTATCGCTCTCCAATACGCTTGTGAATATCATCTAGAGCTGCGGATAGTCACGCTTTCGACACAAGCTTCTATCTAAAACTTGTTCATCTTGGTCTGACAGACAAGCTTTTTAAAGTATCTAAACGTCCTTTTGGAACGCCCTATATAAATGAGGAAACAAGTAATGCAATGGTAAGTTGTTTATTTGCTGAAAAAATAGTTTCGCATTTATTGAGTATTTTAGCTCATATTACATGAGCCATTATTATTTGTCATCATGTGAGTATTTTAGCTCATATTACATTACACTTACTGCAAAATCAGGTATAGAAAAGATAGAAAGAATTATATGCATAAAGTCTGAATGAAACAGAATTTGAAAGAGTAAATTAATTGAAATTATGTAACATGGAAAGGATGGAATCCAATTTTGAGTGAGCTGTATTAGGGATTTTTTTCTTAATCATTCCATTTTTTGTATTAGCTACTAATAATCATGTGATATCTATCTTGGTTGTAAAAATAAGTATGTAATATCTTCGGAAATCATGCATATTTTGATTATTTTTAAGTAAGTTTATAGCAGTAATATTTTTTTTTTTTACAAATTTAAGAAGGTTATTTTAGCTATACAAACAACGGGCTAATTGTCGGAATTTGGACATTCCTTAAATTCAAAAGGGAATTTTATTTTTAACCTAGTTTTTATCACTATCTTTATCGTTTTTATAAAACTATTCCTTATATATTGATTAATTCAAAAAATCCTTTGAAATAAACATTGAAAATATTCTTAAAAATTTTAACCCATTCTTGTATTTTGATTTCGAGGTTTACTAAGAACTGCTATATATATTATGCATGCTGTTTCAGAAATTTCCAGGAGGATGCATTTGTTTTCACACAAGTGACGTTCACGCGTGAGCGGATTATAACCGAAAATCATGCAGATTCTAACAATATAAGGTCTAAGCGTCTCATGTAAAAAAAAAAAAAAAAAAAAAAAAAAAAGAGTTGGAAAATTTTAATGATTCCTTCGTACACTTCATATTCATACTTCGTAAATGAATGAATTAATTATTAATTACTCTGCTGAAAGACATCTGTTGGCAGTATGATTTCAGATCTCTTTAATGCCTAACACTAATTGCTTTAATCGATATATTAATCTGAAGAAACACATAGTTAAAATCTATTTTATAGCAATAATAAAATTTAATACTTCACTTCTTACGTACGAAGGAACTTATGACTTTAGAAAGAACTTGAGACTGCTTGCTTAATTTAAAGTAAGTAGAATACGGGTATATTAATACTATTAAATAAAAGTATCATTAATTTTCCTATTTAACGTTTAATTTTAATTCTTTCTTATAATGGCTATAGTAAAGAAATAATTTTGCTTCAACACGTCACATAACTGTTGAAGATTCTCAAAGAGCGCAACTGCAATATTTGACGATTGGAAATCTCTTTCCTGTACCTCCTTAAGTGAAAGGCAGTCAACAAAAAATTTCCATCGCTTAATAAAAAATTAGATAAAATTTTTTTATGAGTGTAGATTTTTTGCACAGGAAATTAAACTAAACTGTATTCAAGTGGTACTGCATATCTACTTGTACACCTTTTGGCACACAAGTTATTGGTTCCTAATTGCATAGTATTCACTCAAAGTCCTTCAGAGATTCTTGGACTGAAAAGCGAATTATTGCTCCGTCGGAAATATTATAACAAAGTCTTAAAATTTAACTAACCTTTTTGTTAAAGCTTAGAATAAACAGAAAACGCAATTTGTGAATACAAATAAATTCCACCACGTGCGGGTATTTAAAATAACAGAGTTTTAATTTCAAATTAAAGTTACCGTAGTCAGAGACTACGCAAATTGACCTGCTTAAGTTAGCTCAATACTTTAAATGGCGCATATTAAGGGGAATTTTGCTTCGGATAGCAGAAACATGTCGCTGCCAAGAGCTCTTATATCTAAAATATTAAAAATTATCAATTTAAATATTTTTTAATCTAATTTGCATCCTGATGAAGGCTCCCGAAAGGAGAAATTATAGGTTTAAATCATAATAACTGATTAATATAAAATATTTCTTAAAGTATGTAAAATGTACTGCTGTATATGCTAAGTGTGAATTACTAGTTTGAAATATCCCAAACACTGAATAGATGTAACACTAAAAATCTTTCAAATTGGAAAAATATTTCTGAAAAGGAGGGGCGAGAAAAAAAATCATTTTTGCATTAAATCCATAGCGGAAAATAGAGTAATTATTATTATTTTTTTTTAGTTATAGCATTTACATGAAAGTTGTGGTAATTCATTTCATGGCATGATCCCTTATGAACTGTTGTATATTTTATGCCTCCAAATGTCTCGCGATGCAATGATTAATGTGATTTCTTTTTCTTTATTAGCTTGTGTTCGCTTGTCAGAGCCTTAAATGATGTAATCTATGGTTTGCGGCACTCTGCCAACTTTAGAACTTCAGTTATAGTGTTGTAGTAATTGATCGCTGTTGTATTGTGATTGCTTACTTTTCCATTCTCCTAATAAACGTTGTTATCCCTGCAATGAAGATATAATTCAATTTATTTTATATACTATAACAGGTTATTCGCCCAGCAAATTAAGAGAAGTCTTTCATAAAGGCGTATATTTTGAATCTGTATTTTGGATTAAAATTGACGAACAGTGATTACTTCCGTTTACTTCTTTCGTCTTTATCGACTACGTAATGGCGGCTATGGATCTAAACCGCGTGTGTAACGAAAAGCTGAATGACCGAAATTACTATACTTGGAAATTTAAATTGGAACTCTTGCTGAATAAAGAGGATCGATGGGATGTTATTATTACAGAACCTCCATCTCCAGTAACTGCAAAGTGGGTTTCGAAAGACGGAAAAGCTAGAGCAACTATAGGACTTTTATTGGAAGATAACCAATTAGGACATATTAGAAAGTGTACGACTGCGAAAGAGGCATGGAATACTCTCAAACAGTACCGTGAAAAGTTAACACTATCCCGAAAGGTTGGGCTTTTGAAAAAGCTGTGTAATTTGCAGTACAGCAATAAAGAACGAATGAGCGATCATTTAACGAAAATTGAAGCTATTGTGGATCAACTAGTAGCGCTAGGTGAGCAAATTTCAGAACCTTTATTCGTTGCATATATTTTTAAGAAGCTTACCTGAAAATTATGCTACGTTAATAACAGCTTTAAAAACACGACCAGAAGCAGATTTAACTGTTGAATTAGTTAAAAATAAAATATTCGAAGAGTATCGACGTCAAAACGAAAATAAAGAACTTGGTACAGGAAGCGAGAACAAAGCTTTGAAGTCATATTCTTCTTTAATGCGTAACATTCCAGCTGATAAAAATAAAGTACCTAATTGTTTCTTTTGTAAGAAATTAGGTCATTTAAAGGCTGACTGCAGGAAATATGCGAAATTGGAGCTTAAGCATAATCAAAAGCAACAAGTTAATGCATCTATGATTCAAGTGACATTAATAAAGCAAAACAAGTTTCTAATCACCATTCTTTTTGAAGTGCGAATAATTTACATGGTTACTGGTGTATCGATTCTGGAGCCACCGTTCATATGTGCAATGACAAAACTCTGTTCAGCAATTTTGATAGTAATTCTGTTCCTGAGCGAATAACTTTTCTAACGGATATACAGCACTTAGTCAGGGAAAAGGTACTTGCTTGGTAAAATATCAGAATAATCAAAATGAGGAAATACGGGTTACTACCAAAGATGTGCTTTTTGTCCACAGCTATCTGAAATTTATTATCCATAAAGAAGCTGACTGATAATGGATATGAATTGAACTTTAAAAGTGGAGAATGCCATATTAGGAACAATGATAATATAATTACTTTCGGCTACGTCAGAGGAGGTTTGTACTATGTTCTTAAAGTGAGCATGCTCTTCGTACGAAACAAG